GAAAATGATGAACTTACCTGAACCTTTATCCGAGACTTGTCTTTCAAGGAGCTTGTTAATCCTGATAACCTATTGCCACCTTAAAGCCACCACGTCCATTCGTACTGCTTTAGGAAGAAGTTTTGAAGGAACGCTTGCCCGCAAGCATGGGTGTCCATTTTTTTCCCACGAAAAGTGGACGATCGCCAATCCAGCGGCGTTCACACGCACACGCACACAAAAACACTTCCACGTCCGTCCACAGTTTCGCCACGTACAGCGCAGTAGATTCCTGAGAGCTGCGCGATTATCTTGTGTAAATTGGAGCAGTGGCTGAACACGAAATAAGGGCAAGAGGATTGAAAATGGACCAACTCGATCAGCACTGCACCCATGACTCCAGCGAGCAAAAAAGCAGCAATGGTGCGGACGGATACAGTGCATGCAGGCTTGACAATGAACACTGCAATGAACATTACATTACTCCTTCAGATCAACGATTTACGCACTTTTCAATAGAACAAAATGTTCCTGAGCCCATTGGCGAACGACGTCTTATTTTTTTAACAATTATGAAGGCAATTTCATCACCATACGACTGAATGTTTGTAAAAACTATTTTCTTCGTCGTTACTTGAAGTAAGCCACAGCACTCTCTTTCCTGCTGTGTCGACAGACTGGTCTAGGCCACGGCAGGGCTGCACGGTGCCTACGCGTGCTTCTTCGCACAACTTTCTCCGAATTTTCCACCCGTCCGACGGGCGCCCTTTTCTGTATTTTTTTACTGTGCGCACCTTTTGCAACCTTACAGTCTGGCGAGTTTTTTCGGACAATAATATACTTCAACTTCCTCCCGCGTGCCCAGAAAGCTGCACGTGCAGGATCTTTGAGACAGGCATTCCGTGGAGCTGAAATCACTGCTTAATGTACGCTGGCTACCAAGACCCGCTCCAGCCAAATTTTCATCGCATTTCTAAAGCATTTATAATGATAATAATAATATTCAAAGAACCAATAATCAATCAATACTTTTTAACGTATCAAAGAACAACCAGAAAGTCTTTCGTGCTGGCGCGCGCAAAAATAACACAAGAATAAACAATACAATAAAGACTATTCACAGAAAAGCAAATCAATAAATAGAGCAAAAACGAGCAGTCGAAAAGAAAACAATGCAGAATGCGGACAACAAACAGAAGAGTAGATAATAATGGAATGGGACTGAAAAACAATGTGGAATATAGATAACCGTGCCGAAGGCTTCCTGAAAGACGGAAAAGGGAAGAATCTGTGCATGTGCAAATCTACGTTAGGACAGGGCAGCCCTCACTGATAAAAAAATGACTGTAGACTATGAAAAACATAACGAATCAAGAAAGTTGACGTGAGAGAGACTCGGTATTCTGTAAAGGATAGAGTGTTTAAAGAAGCTGGCAGGTACATGCAACGGTCGATTCTCTCTCGATAACTTCTCGATAGTGACCTCGATCTCTCTAGATTCTCTCTCGATAGTGACCTCGACCAAGTAATGACACACCCACACAAAATAGAAGTTTTGTGAATTCGGCAGTTTACGTTAAATGTTGCTATAAAGCTTCAGCATTTCGTTACATGGTCCATTAATTATGTATCACCTATGAGTCAGTTGCACCTTTCTTAACGTACATGTCTATGACGTGAGATTTACTTGATGCTTGCAAACAATACACTAAATTAATTGTTAACTAGTGCAATCATAAAATTTTCAATAAAAATTTACTATGTGCACAGCCAGGAACATTATACATAGCCAAAGGAAACGCAAGATGTATTTTTGCAATAAATTAGTAAAACTTCTCTTTTGAATGTAATCATAATGGTGCCTGAATGTTGCACTCACGTAAGTTCTTTTTTGTTTTTGAAAACACTCCTTTAAACATTGCATTGCGTATGCAATTATAGTAAATGGCTGCTGAAAGCAATCACAAATGAGGGGAAACAGGAATAATTGAAATCTTGTTATATGAAGGAAGCATATAGCCATCAAAACCTTCAAATAATCAGAAATTTGGTCCATCGATGTGGAAGCTAAAAGTGAATTGAAATTACTATTTCTTGCTGCCACTTTAAATATTGCATTAATGTGAACTATAGAAGTTGCATGCATTTTGTCTTTACATAAAACTATATAGTATTGCTCTATAATAATAGCGAGGTTCGGAAGCTTCAATACGTTTTGTGACTTGACACGATTACTTCCTCGTAAAACATGTGTGCTCTCGTATACATTATTTACGTCGTATTAATTACAACTTATTGTTTTAGACCTAAATGCCATGAAAAATGTATGAGTTAAATTACACGAATGCATGCATATATGCATTCAACTGAGTTGCAACTATCACGTACACAAAGCTGACCTGAAATTTGGGTTTTTTTTGCATGGCAGAACTAACATATATAATTAATATTCCTATTGTTGTAAAAAATAAGCAGGTCAGCTTTGTGTACAAATTGTTATATATTACAATCCGCATAAAAGTGTGATCACGGTGCTAAATATATACGTGGTTCATCCCAAAATAAGGGAGCACTTCCGCATATAAGGATCCACTTGATATGTTATATATGGTGTGGCCGTGCCTTATTTGGCCGGATTTGACTCCTTATACGGGCCAACCGTGTCATATATGGCTGTATATAACCCCATACATGAACCGACTCCACCAGATATACATCCATATATGGTAAAAAGAAGCCACATATGCTGACATATACGCTTATATGTGGCCACATATGCTGCCATATATGCTTATATGTGGCCACATATAACCTATATATGGGCCATGTATGGCGTTTCCGTAAGGGATAACACGCTCGTACATACGGAGCCAAGGAGTAGTCAACGTAAAGCCCAAGTTGTGCGGAGAATGTACCGGAATCACGCGGGTAGGGCATCGTCAGGTATGTAGTGGCTGGAGCTACAGATGGAGTCGCTGATGGGCTGTTGTCATTGGTAGCCATGGCTGGAGACTGAACAATGCGGTTACTGCGAAGCTTCGCGGTGAGGACGGGGAACGTTGAACATCCACCAAATATGTTATGGATAAGACGCGACGCCGTATCGACAAGGCTGCGGATGAGATGTACTCAAAACCAGCAGTAATAGCGTGACCGGTTCACCAGCGAACGAGCGATGACCACCCTTTGTGCTCTTCGTCAGGCATACACGTGCATCGTCCCACAAAATGTCAACATGCATGTAGCAATATGAAAGATCGTCAACCTTGAGTGCAAAATAAATGGTTTCGCTTTCAAAAGTCGCAAGCGTATCTTCCACGCCTGTCATTGAGCTCTTATTGATTGCCAAACTGTCGAATGCCTTGTTGATAGGTTGAAACGTTTTCTCGATACCCCTTTTAAAGCATTTGTGTCAGTATACTTGTGGATTTCAGTCAAGACTTCCTGATTACAAAAGAAATTACTTCACATCCAGCAAGCACAGGTGCACACACATTACCTCACCACGTCGGCGCAACTAGAAACACAAGAAATATTTGGTTAGTTTTCTGACACTTGTCAAATGGTTTTTTCACCCATATCAAGAAGACGAAAGTGACCATAAACATGTCCACTGCGGAGCCGTCATGCCCAATACTGTTTCCAGTGATGTCTATCTCCTTGCAGGTGTGCTCTTTCGGTAACTTTGGTGTGGCTGATGCGTCCCGAAGAAGGGTTCGAGCGAGTCGCTTCTGCTGTTCAAGAAAGGTGCCTTAACGTAGCTCGCCCAGCGGTTGTTCGTATACAGTCGGCTGACGATAGACCCGTCATTGTGGATGCGGTGTGATTGTGTGCCACGATATTGCCCGTAAAAACGTTGCATGGAGCAGGAGATCAAACATCTGGAATAAGAAGACGTAACAATTGCTCGACTTCTTGACTATTGAGTCAAGCTGGCTTATTATATGCGCAATAAAATTAACAAAATAAATATTGCATTGTCCTACTTCTTGTGAGTAATTTGCGCCAAATAAGTGAAAATATATCCTAGTCATACTTAAGCCTCTAAAGGCTAACAAATACAATTAGCACTACTTTCTTGGCTGTTGGGCCGGATTCACTGCCTTGCTGAGACTCACTGGTGCGTTTCTTCCATCCCTCTGTGACGACCCTGTTTCCCTATCTCCACCAAATATTTGATGTATCTTGTCGACTGCGCATGCGTTGTTGACCTGCCACTGAACGAATATCTTTTATCAAAGGGATGAAGTGATAGAATCGTGGGCACTAATTTATTCCTGCTAAACGCGGAGAAATATTCACACGTGCCTTTATTGTTCCCACTTTTTGTTTGATTTGGTTTTCGCCCACAGAGCCTGGCTCTGGAATGGTCAGCGCAAACTACACAGTTAGGGAAGGTTCGCGACCGGCAAGGCGCGAACACTCGAGATTATTCCAAAGCTTGCGCAAAGACCAGTGATCACTGATAAGGCTGATATATTCAACAATACCACTATAATTCGCGACGCGCTTGGCTGCTTGTCAGTTGATCGACGGCCGACGCTCTGTTCACCGTTCTCAGTGCCAGTGTCTTGCTCACTTTACTTGGCCACAAGCTCAGCCCAGTAAACTGTTCAACCTGAAGACCCAGTCTTCTCCCTTCAAACTTGCAGCGCCTAGAACCTTTCCAAGCCACCAGAGTGTTCACTTTTGGATACCTTTTTTGTGTGTGTGGTTTCTACTCCGCCTTGGGCCTCAGATGCTGTTGCCCCTTTGGTTTTGAATGTAGATACAACACTTTTATATAACCTTCCCTAGCTACCAGCCAGAGCAGACCTAACAGGCAAGCACGTACTCGTGCACATTCTAATGGATAAGAATCCGCACATTCGGGAAAAGATCTAATAAGACGTTTACAAATATGACACTTTCGTTTTGTTTTGTTTCCGCAGTGTACGTGGACGTCGTGATTAATCACACGACTGGTCCTTTGCAATTAAAAAAGGCACAGTGGGCAGCAGCTTCAAGTACGATGAATACAGCTATACCCTGCCGTACCGTTTGCTCCCGATGACTTCCACGCGAAAAGGCAGTGTAGCAGCAAGTCCGGTGGTATCGATAATTACGGAGACGTAAATCAGGTGAACAAAATGCGATGCTTAAGCTGTCTACATTAGGACAATACAGCGCGTTCAGTGAAAACTGCTTTTAGCCTTTAACAATGCATAAAATGTAAATATTGCACATTTAGCAAGTACTTCATGCAAAGATGTGTTGGTTGTTTCAAATATCAGTAGCCACACACAATCCGCAGTTTTTTTTGCACTCTATACCTGTTTCTATAATGAACGCATTATACATGTCATCAAAGACAGCCGTAACAACCTTACTAAATTTGCACTCTGCGAATAGGAAATTTTAAGTAAATCATACGCTGCACGTGTCCCCGTAAAAAAAGACAGGTGGTCCTGAACAACATTCACGGTTTCCATTATATTTGCATTAGATAGGTGTTTCTGACTCACAAGAATATTTATTAAGTTATTCTTGAAAAAATAGGGTGTATACCTCTAGAAGCATACATGTTGGCCGCTATAGCACTTTGCCACCAGTTTCCCAATTTCTGAACTCTAAGCAAACTTAGCAACAAATTGTGCATTTGTTGTTTTCGATATAATTCTACGATAAAAATCCTATAAAATGCTACATTAGTAGTATATTATTTCACTGTACAGTAGAAGTATTCTTGAGAATATTATGCTAAAACCACGAAATTGCCCGAAATACCTGTTGATTTTATTATTATGGGGGGTTTAACGTTCTAAAACCAACATATGTTTGTGAGAGACGCCGTAGTGGAGGGCTCCGGAAATTTCGACCCCCTAGGGTTCTTTAACGTGCACTCAAATCTGAGCAATCAGGCCTACAGCATTTTCGCCTCCGTCGAAAATGCAGCCGCCGCAGCTGGCATTTGATCCCGTGACCTGCAGGTCAGCAGGTGAATACCTAAACCACTAGACCACCGCAGCGGGGCCCCGAAATAACTTTGATACAGGCATTTCTTGTTGTGGGAAATTTAAGCTGGTAACATTAAAAGTAGGAGGATACTAACTGATCTGTGCGTCATTTGCGCTTGAGCATTACGTGACTTTTTACATTATCAAATTCGAAAAAAACTTGCATAGATTAACAATAGTGTTTGAGTTCAAGAAGCTTTCAAAATATTCGTTTCTATTTTTGAGTACCTAAAGGGCGTTGTCTACCATGCTGAATTCAAGAACGTTGCCTACCATACAATTCAAGATAAAGTCTTAAAACTGCTATAGCAAGTAATACGTTATATAATGCATGACATATGCCTAACTCGTCCTAGCGCTCGCGAACCTGATCGCTATCCACCACTACTTTTATAGCGAGAAGGACGGGGCGGCTAGTCGACTTGGTTGTGAAGAACGACTTAAAGAGACAAAAATATAGAACTAAGCTGTATATGATCTGAAATTAGTTACAGTAAGTGATTGTGCGCGATGAGTTTAACAACGGGCAAGACGTTCGAGCTTTGAAATGTTGCACAGCCTTTTCAGCAATCCACGTAAGGACAAGGTGCATGACATCTGAAGTAAAAATTTCAGTGATTACTTGAAGATTGAAAGAAGGGTGCAGATAATGGTAGTGTGAAATTATTAGGTTCCTTGTGACTGTTAGCCTAAACTATTTCTAACAACCTGCATTCATCGTATAGTTCAATGCCACACCGCTGTGTATATAAAAGGATACAAGTGCTGTCTTAAAGAACACACTGAAGGGCTAGTTGCTAATGCATAACTCAGAACAGTAGCGCAAAGAAGCACATAAACTGCGGCACATCGCGACGGAACACAGACCTAACTATTTCGTTAGCACCCCGCCGTGGTGGTGTATATTGGCTAAGGTAACCGGCCTCTGACCCGTAGGTCCCGGAATCAAATCCCGGCTGCGGCGGCTGCATTTTTGATGAAGGTGAAAATGCTGTATGCCCGCAAGCTCAGATTTGTGTGCACGTAAAAGCACCTCAGGTGGCCGATGTGTCTGGAGCTCTCCACCACGGTGCCTCTCATAATCAAGTGGTGGCTTTAGAGCGTTGAATTCCACATATCAATCAAGCAACCAGTTAGCGTGGCTTGCGGTACAACACCTGCTTGCGACGCAGACGGCCCAGTTAAGCTTACGCTCTAGGCGAATATTTTCTTTATGTTTATTTTTCCGCAAAAAATGGGAGTGTTTTTTTTTCCTTAGAAGCAGTGTCAAGCAACAGCGTACCTTAGAAGCAGTGTCAAGCAACAGCTTGAGGCAGAATAGTTGTTTGTCACGCAGCTGCCGGGGTTCTTCTTTCACTGAAACCGAGTAATTTTTGCGCGATAGCGTGAAAGATCTAGTTTCTCAGAAATGTCAGCGCGGTTATTGGCGGCATTGATTGTAAGCAAAAAATCGTCTTGTGCATGACAAAAAAATTACATAAAAGCAAGTAAAATAAGCAATAAAATAGTCAAGTCTGAGTGATGATTGAACCCATGGCGTACACATGACATGTAGGTGTTCTACCACAAAAGCATGATCTTTCTTATGCTTGTTTCTTGTCTTTGCTACACAACACAGAATGCAATGAAAACTGTGAAAAAAACAACCCGATGCACTTTGTTCCCACGGTGACATGGAAGTCCACTAGCGACATGGAAGTCCACTAGCATCATGGTGGTATATACAAGATAGCGTCGTGTGTATTGAAACTGCTCTGGAATTAAACACCATATTAATGACATGCACTGGAAGGCATCTTTTTAACCCTTCATGTATTGCGTGACAGAAGCGTGGAATCGCGCAAGGTATTAAACCACGCGAATCGAGCAAGGAGTGAGTGTTTTAAAGGCCCATACATGAAAAAGTGCTCACGAATGCTGCTTAATCCTAATAGAATACGTAAAACCAGTGGTGCAAAGGATTAAAGACTTGAGGTTGACCAAGGATGATTTCGACGTACTCAAGGTCATCGGGAAAGGAGCGTTTGGCGAGGTGAGCATTCTGCTGCGAGCCACACCTTTGCTTCGAGTTTTTACCAAGGGTTGGATGTCAAGCACTAGGGTTCGATGTCCTTTTTTTTCTTATTTTGTCAACATCATTTGTGTAGTAGCGATGGAGTTAGAGATGTCAAAGAGGCTGTAGCTATGAAAAGAAGGGAAAGAGTTTTTGTGCATGTGCAGGGTACAATAATGCTTGTTTTAATGATGTGGAGCATCTGCCACAACGTTGCTGTAATTGAAGCAAAACGTAGTACATTGTACTCAACAGTTTGTGAATATTGTCCACGTTTAAATGTATTTTTTGTGCCATCTCCTCCAATTGTTCAAGTGGGCTTGTGCCTATGAAACTGATTGCAATATGTTGATGCTGCTTGGGCTCCCCGTTTTCTAGCATGGTGACCCAGCAGAATAAGCTAGCACGTTTTTTTCAACTGATTAGAAATTAAGGGACAGTCAAAGATGATTCAGAGGACGAGGTTATTGATTTGAAAATGGATTCAAAAAGCAACATCAATGATAGTGAAAACTGGCTTTAAAACCAAATAAGAACGAGGAAAAACCGAGAGAAAAGACAAAGTCATCGCTGTGTCTTATCTTTGCCCTCGTTTTTAGTACCAACCAACTAGCTCTGTTCAATACCGCTTTGACAATTACAATGAAAGGGTCATAGTACCAAAGAGATGCCGATTATCCTGACTAAACTAATTAATAAATGTTCTCATTGCATAGTGTTACTCTCACTTGTGAGCAATTGTTTCAATGCTTCTTTTGTTAAATGCTCTATGCTGGTATTTTCTTAATGAGTGCACTTCCAAAATCAGAATTTTCGATGAATATTCAGCAACATATCATAATAGGTAGCATTTGAATTCAAAGCCTGGTCGTGTGTTAATTAAAAATTGGAGCTGGAAATGCCCTCAGCACACTGGAAATGCCCTCAGCACACAGTGGGTTAAAGTGTTGCTCTTAGTTTTTAGCCTTAAAAAATATTTTTTTGTAGAATATGAGTATGGTAATGTCAAATCTTGTAGCAAACATTATCTATTTTCATTTAAAATCGATTAAAACACAAATAATAATAATAATAATAATAATAATAATAATAATAATAATAATAATAATAATAATAATAATAATAATAATAATAATAATAATAATAATAATAATAATAATAATAATAATAATAATAACAATAATGATGATGATGATGATGATGATGATGATGATGATGATGATGGTGGTGATGATAACAAAGACGACAACCACAGGAGCAAAACAACGAGAATAATAATATTGAAAGTGATTCTGATGATATTTATTTGCAATAGAAGGAAAATGCTGCTGATTAGAGAGAAAAAAATATTGTGCAGCTGGCACTTGTGGCTCAATAATGTAAATATCAGTGGACCTAGTGTTCAATGTACCTAAGTCATGTTAGTAATGTAAAGTTTTTAATAGTGACATTAATGTTTTGCTAGCAGTACTAAGAATGGCTAGACTTAGCTGGACATGTCATATGACTATGTGTTACGTGACATGATTTTAGTCACATCAGTACCTGTTGTGGGTTTTTTTGTGGAAACAGGTCACGGACGAGCTGTTACATTGTTTACAGCGGGACCATGTAATGTGACTAGCTATTGTACAACATTGGAGAATTTCAGTCGTGTGAATAAATAATATGTAATTTTTATTCGTGTGACTGCATGTTGTGTGATATTTAGTCACGCGAGCAGTTATATAATTCTAGTCACGTGACCAGTTATGTGGTGTCATGTGATCGTTATTAAGGTGAGAGAGTGAGGCAGAAGTTGAAGAGGACAAAGCAAGTGTGTACCGGTTCACAGTGATAATAATCCTTGTTCCCACTGCCCAGTGCTACTAAAAGCTTAAAGAGCTCCTGTCTCAAAACGGCAAAACAAGAAACGAAGAGCACTTGTGTTTTGGTATGTGCTGTTCATTCAGTGATGGCGATGGCGTAGTGTACATGCAGCGATGGCGTAGTGGTTAGAGCATCCGCCTCGCATGCAAAAGATCCGTGGTTCAAATCCCGGTGCCGCGCAGTTCCCAGCCGGATAAAAAAAATCCACGTGGTGATGGAACTGCATTACGAGGCCTGGGGTGCGGCCGTACCGATAACCACCGCCGGGAACGCACTCCCTCACCAGAGAAGGATTGGCCACCCTGGTGCAGTATTAGGCCACTACCTCCCACATGCATACGTCAAATAACTCACGGCCCTCAGTCCTCAGCAGCTGCGAAGCAACTGAACACGGCGGCGGTCACATCTGCAACGCAGCAGAGGGTGCCAAGAATCTCTGGATCGGGACAGGCCGCTATTGGAACCTGAACTTGGCAACGCTTAACGCTAGAACCTTATCTAGTGAGGGAAGTCTAGCTGTACTGTTATAGGAGCTAGAGGGAGTTAAATGGGATAAAACAGGGCTCAGTGAGATTAGGAGGACAGATGAGGCCTATACGGTGCTACAGAATGGGCACGTCATTTGCTATGGGGGCTTGGTTGACAGAAGAAAACTTGGAGTGGAGGTCCTAATTCATAGAAACATAGCTGGCAACATAGAGAAATATTATAACATTAATGAAAGGGTGGTAAGCATCGTAATTAAACACAATTAGAGATACAAGATGACTATGATACAGGCTTCCGCGCCTACATCCAGCCATGTTGACGCTTCAGTTGAAAGCTTCTATGAAGACGTGGAATCGGCAAAGAGTAAGGTAAAAACACAGTATACAATACTGATGGGAGACTTTAATGCAAAGGTAGGGAAGAAGGAGGCTGGAGACCAGGCAGCAGGAGATTATGGCATCGGTACTAGAAACGCCAGAGGACAGCTACTCGTACAATTCGCAGATTGCAATAATTTACGGATTTTGAATACCTTCTACCGAAAATGAGGAAAGCGCAAGTGGACATGGAAGAGCCCTAATGGCAAAAATAAGAACGAAATACACTTTATAATGCGTGCACATCCAGGCATCGTGCAGGATGTGGAAGTGGTTGGCAAGGTACGATGCAGTGACCATAGAATGGTGCGGTCTCGAATTCGCCTAGACTTGAAAAAGGAACGACAGAAACTGATACGCAAGAAGCCATTCAATGAGCTAGCACTGAGAGGGAAAGTACAGGAATTCAGAATCTCGCTTCAGAACAGGTACTCGGCTCTTAGTGAGGAAACCAACCTTAGCGTAGATACAATGAATGATAATCTGACGAGTATCATTACGGAGTGTGCAATGGAAGTTGGAGGTAGGGTAGTTAGACAGGACACTGGCAAGGCTTCCTAGGAAACGAAGAATCTCATTAAGAAGCGTCAAATTATGAAAGTCTCAAGTACAACAGACAAAATAGAACTGGCAGAGCTTTCGAAGTTGATTAATAGGCGTAAGGTATCCGACGTAAGAAGGTATAACATGGAGAGAATTGAACACGCTCTGAAAAATGGAGGAAGCGTCAAAGCAGTGAAGAGAAAACTTGGGATAGGCAAAAATCGGATGTATGCACTAAGGGACAAAGAATACAAAATAACTACCAATATGGATAGGATAGTTAAAACAGCGGAGGATTTTTACAGAGATCTGTACAGTAGCCTGGACAACCATGACTTTAATACTATAAGAACTAGCAGTAACCCAGATGACACCCCACCAGTAATGATAGAAGAAGTCAGAAAAGCTTTGGAGAGTCTGCAAAGAGGAAAATCTGCTGGTGAGAATCAGGTAACATCAGATCTGCTGAAAGATGGAGGACAGATTGTGTTAGAAAAACCAGCCACCCAGTTTACGAGGTGTCTCTTGACGGGAAGATTACCAGAGTCTTGGAAGAACGCTAACATCATCTTATTACATAAGAAAGGAGATGACAAGGACTTGAAGAATTACAGGCCGATCAGCTTGCTCTCTGTGGTGTACAAGCTATTTACAAAGGTAATTGCTAACAGAGTAAAGAAAACATTAGAATTCAATCAACCAAAGGAACAAGCAGGATTTCGAACAGGCTACTCAACAATTGACCACATTCATACTATCAATCAGGTAATAGAGAAATGCTCAGAGTATAACCAACCACTATACATAGCCTTCATAGATTACGAGAAGGCGTTTTATTCAGTAGAAATATCAGCCGTCATGCAGACACTGCGGAATAAGTGAGTAGATGAAGTATATATAAACATTCTGGAAGAAATATACAGAGGATCAACTGCTACCATAGTGCTTCATAAAGAAAGCAACAGAATACCAATCAAGAAGGGTGTAAGGCAGGGGGACACAATCTCCCCAATGCTATTTACCGCGTGCTTACAGGAGGTTTTCAGAAGCCTAGAGTGGGAACAGTTAGGGATAAGAGTTAATGGTGAATACCTTAGTAACCTGCGCGTCACCGATGACATTGCATTGCTGAGTAACTCAGGGGAAGAATTGCAACTCATGATTACGGAGTTACACAGGGAGAGCAGAAAGGTAGGTCTTAAAATGAATCTGCAGAAAACGAAAGTAATGTACAACAACCTCGGAAAAGAGCAGCGCTTCGAGATAGGTAATAGTGCACTTCAAGTTGTAAAAGAGTATGTCTACTTAAGGCAGGTAATAACCGCGGAGCCGAACCACTAGATTGAAGTAACTAGAAGAAAAAGAATGGGGTGGAGCACATTTGGCAAGTACTCTCAATTTATGACAGGTAGATTGCCACTATCCCTCAAGAGAAAGGTATATAACAGCTGTATCTTGCCGGTACTTAGCTACAGAGCAGAAACCTGGAGACTTACAAAGATGGTTCAGCTTAAATTGAGAACGACGCAGCGAGCAATATAAAGAAAATAGGTAGGTGTAACCTTAAGAGACAAGAAGAGAGCAGAGTAGATTAGGGAACAAACGGGGGTTGAGGATACCATAGCTGAAATCAAGAAGAACAAATGGACATGGGCTTGGCATGTAGCGCGTAGACAGGATAACCGCTGGTCGTTAAGGGTAACTAACTAGATTCCCAGAGAAGGAAAGCGGGTAAGGGGGAGACAGAAGGTCAGGTGGGCAGATGAGATTAAGAAGTTTGCGGGTATAAATTCGCAGCAGCAAGCACAGGACCGGGTTAACTGGCGGAACATGGGAGAGGCCTTTGTCCTGCAGTGGACGTAGTCAGACTGATGATGATGATGATGATAATGATGATGATGCTACAGCAGAACCATCAACAAAAAGTGAACAGCTTCGTAGGGTCAAGTATTGCCTTACGGACATCTAGTGGGGCCTTCGTTGATTTGCAAAAGAAATAGTTATGCCGTATTGTGCACCTAGCAACCGTGCTTTCAGTAGACATTTAACGGTACTTTGAAACGACCAGTGCTGCGCTAACAGTCGTTAGTTCTCTTAAGGAATCGTTGAGGCATGCACCAAGAGCAGAAGCAGGCTAGCAGTCCAGGAGCCGATGCGCACGCAGCCCGATAACGATATCACGATCTGCTCTCAAAGACGAGGCTGAAGCTTCTTCGAATCTTAATAATTTTTTTTCATTTTTATGGATCTTTTGATCATGGACCTAACTGTTGATTTTTCACTGGCAAACATCTACGTTGATGCTAACACCAGAGTTTCTATGAAACAAGCCGTTTAACACTATCGCGTTATAATTTGCTTAGAGTGTTCATATCGCAATAACAGAACGGGACCAAAGTTGAACTGCGTTTTCTCTCTGCTGAGAAAATATATTTCAAATAAATGTATTGCATTGAATTTTATTTATAGCTGCCGTTAAAATGTAAAAACACTGAAAGAATAAGAAAGGTGGTTCTAGCGGCCGTACATTGTACGTAACTATTTATACAACTCTTTCCCCCAAAAGTGATGCTAATATCATTGTTGTTGGTCTGAATTCTGCATATCAATTAAACGCTAATAAAATTGTGAATGGCAACCAGGACTCCCTCTGCATTCTTATCCAGACACGCCGTGCTATGGTTACCTTGATTTATTTGCCGCATGAAAAGAGAACAGAATGGTATTGGGTTATTCTGCTTAGCTTTACAACCCCAATTGCCTGTCTTATAGTATAAAAGTAAGTCCTGGAAGCACTTCAGCACTAGAGTACAGTAAATATTGCCAGGCTTACGCCGGGCATTGTTAGGTCCCAAGAAAAAATGAAGTATTTTTCAGTCTTAGTGCAATATTCGTAACCATGACGACGACGTGATATTACTTGTCCTTTTTCTGTGCTCCATTTGGCTCTGTCCATTCCTACTGGTGCGCAACTGTGAATTGCTCGGACTTCGTGACCTGAACCATGCTAGGAAGCACGTTAGAGCCAAGATCTCCGAGTTCCTGAATCAACTCATCAGTTTGGGAGTAGTCGGATTTCGTGCCGATGCCGCCAAACACATGTGGGCCTGCTGACCTGAAAGTTATCTACGCGAAACTCTACAACCTCAGCACAGAGTTCTTCACTGCGGGAGCCATGCCGTTCATCTACCAAGAGGTGATCGATATGGGTCAAGGCAAGCCGATCACCCGCTGGGACTACAACCAAATGGGCAGAGTGACAGAGTTCAATTACAGTGCCAAGCTTGGTATGTGCAGAGTCAATCTGTTCTACTGTACTCTGCATGTAAAATCTGACAAAAGAGTGGAACGTAAGTTTGTAGCTTAAAGAATACATGAACATTCGGCGTAGTTTTCCTGCACATGTGCTTCCTGTGTAGTTACTTTAGAGCGTAGCTCTAGGGCGCCCGTTCTTCTGTAAAGTGGCGTCGTCGTTGCCGCCATTGTCATCGCCGTCAGTGGCGTCGCCACTCGAACAATTGCGCAGTTGCGCAAGCCCCGCTACCGTGTAGAGCAGGTGCGAGTACGTAACGAAAAAGATGTGCCACATAAAAGAGGGAAGCACTCAAGAGGGCTGGGTAAGCACCCTGCTGACGATTATTATTTTACCACGGGACAACCAATCTACACATGACTCTAGCCGATGAGTTTCGTCGTTTGTGGTCGCACAAACACAAAGCTTTCACTGCAAAGTGTTGCGCCACGATTGAGCAGACACACATTTTATCTGTCTCAGTGCCTAATGCTCGCTCCGTTTCCGCACATGTCACGGACACACATCACGATCCAATGTTTGGGCATGCCTCTGTGCCATGTGTTGCTGAAACCTGGATAAATCCGAAACAAGCCTTCGAAATCGTTGACTAGCATTACTGTTGTAGCTCTCGTGGAGGCCCCAAGACCGCAGCGGGAGTGGCTATCTACTTGCGTACGAGTATATATATATACTGACGGAACTACTGGTACGTAAATTGAAGTTGGTGGACTGTGAGCCGCCAGCTTGGGCAATGGCTTGCTGGCCGTGGCTGCGTACGTTTTGACCACCACGTTTACCAAGGACATCGTGCGCTTCCTGCGCCTCGCTTTAACGGCCCATCGGCCCACAGCAATGTTAGTTGTAGACGACTTGAATTTAGAGATAAAAACAACAGTCACTTTCCTACCACTTGTGCGCGAGTACATACTGTCTCTCACCGTCATAACTTATTCCACTGATGTGACGACCTCGTGAAACTCTTGCATAGACCTTGTTGTCGAGAACCAGGCATTTTTGCATCAAGTCGAACATATCTTCGCTCAATTATTTGATTACCCAGCTTCCTTCGTTATAATAAAGAATCGACAGCGCTAGAGGGAGAGACAGAGAGTTCAAGAAAATAAATAGTGGTATGCAAATGTACATACGTAGATGTTCCTCCCAAATCGGTTATCTACACGTATCGCAAAATGAAAACACCTAAGCAGCTGCACTCAGGATTTTCATTAGACAGTATCGTAATTGTCAAGTTTTTTAAACTTTGTACTTCTTATTTATGATATGTCCTAGTTATGATAGCTCTTATAACGTATCTGATATTTATGGTACGACGTGCTTTAACGCAGCCAACTGTATATAACTGATCTATGTACTCCCTTCCCCAGTTAATAATGCAACAACCACTTATGCAAGTTGTTCAGTGTGACATAGTTTAAATAGCTTCTGCTCTTGTTTTCTGTGCATAAACTGGAATGACAGAAAAAAAAGTTATTTGAACTCCGCAATTCCTTCAGGTGAAGGTAATGTTTTGAAAAAGGCATTGGTGCTTTGAATTTACGGTGATTACGTGTTCTCTATTTAAAACAAAAATGGGACTAGCGATAGCGGCTGCAATCAAACAAATTGTGGTGCTAGTTTGGTTTGAAATAGTTTTTCGTTCGAATTTTTATTTTTTATTTGAATAGCCAGTGGCGCGGCATGAACAAGCCTGCAAGCACACGGAGCAGTGTTGGCTCCTAGATTCGAGAAGGGTGGCTTTCCTTCAACGTGCTTGCCTCGACGGGAAAGATGGTGGACCTATGCCCAACTATGCCCCCGTTGGGAGCGTAGACAGAAACTGTAGTTGCACATGACTTACAATGCAGTCACCAGGCTATGCGAAACCACACAGGATGTCGAAAGCTTTCGTGAAGTGAAGGATACAATATAGTGAGAAGAAAAAGATGCGGTTTGCCTTCAAGTCATCACAGGCCGCTACCTAAAAGACCGTTGGAATTTTTTTTTCATTCTTACTCTATTGTACTACTCTTGTTTCTATCACTTACCAGTGATAATGAAAAGTACGAGAAATGAGTTTTTGTTGGCACATGATGTTCGTGTAAAAAAATCAATTACGACTACAATCCCGCCTATTGAGAAATATGAGTGCAGCTTCGTGTTGTGGCAAGGCTAAGTGTGCTTGAACATCTGGCTTCCGGCAAGGTATCGGGTGCACCATAATTTTTAATTCTTGTTTAATAGGACAACACCCTTTGAGCCATTATTTGTCCCTCTGCAGGTAAGCGAGGCACCCAAAATGACTGGCGTGTGTACTTCGCTGATGATGCATCTGCTTTAGGATGAATAACCACGCCTGCACTTCGAAGTGGATGTAAAGCTCTAAAACACGTACTCGTTACACAATGAGTGCGGTGACTGCTTGTTATTTCACTTTTCCACCATGCTATATCAGATAGTTTACAAGATTTATTGTCGGACATGACGCCTTTAGAGTCTTTTTGCGTTTTGCACTCGGCCCTTCTACCACTTGGCCCTTCTACCTTCCGGAAGACCACGTGCTACGTTTTCAGACGTCATAGCCAAGCACCTAAACAGCATTCCATCAGGATATACGCCAGCTGCGAGAACGGCATGCCCTTTGTGGTGCCTCGACCAGCCGCAAGTACGTCTAGACATTCCGGGAATCAAAAAGAAAAGCAGTCACTCCAGAGTAGCATTGAAGCAAGCAACACTGCTATTAATACATGAGTTGTACTTAGACCGAACGCAGATATGCCCTGATGGGTCCGTCTCATCCAGCAGCTCATCAGGTGCCGCTGTAATTCCGGCTGCAGAAATGACAATCAAATTTAAGTTGTCACATATGACTACATCTACGGCATCAGAGCTTGCTGCTATAAGGGCTGCTTTACAATATCTCGTTCAAGAACGGCCAGGAAAATGGGTCATATTCTGTGATTCGATTGATTGATTTGTGGGGTTTAACGTCCCAAAACCACCATTTGATTATGAGAGACGCCGTAGTGGAGGGCTCCGGAAATTTTGACCACCTGGGGTTCTTTAACGTGCACCCAAATCTGAGCACACGGGCCTACAACATTTCCGCCTCCATCGGAAATGCAGCCGCCGCAGCCGGGAATCGAACCCGCGACCTGCGGGTCAGCAGCATTCTGTGATTCGAAAGCAGCGCTTCAGAGTTTGCAGGCTGCCATGCGTAGGAGGAGCCATGACCAACTGGTACAAGAAATAAGACATTGCCATCATGAAGCTTTAGCACGAGGGCATGATATTATATATCAATGGCTGCCTGGACATATCGGTATTACCGGAAATCAATTAGCCGATGATGCAGCCCGCTCAGCCCATGAAGAAACCCGTGTAGTCCCGATTCCTCTATCAAGAAATGATGCAGCAAGACAACTTTACTTGCTGGCTCGAGATCTCACACGCACGTTCTGGTCGTCTACCAGCTTCCAAAGGTGTCAATTTTATGAACTGGATCCTTCGCTCGAGCTAAAGTTACCATCACAACTTTACCGCTCCGATGCGACACTGTTATGCCGCCTTTGGTTAGGTGTTGCATTCACAAAGGTGTACTCCTTTCGCATTGGTATGGCCGACACTCCTACATGCGACTACTGCGGAGATGAAGAGACCATCGAACACGTCCTGTGCAGCTGCACTTGCTACGACATACAGCGATGCCAGCTACGGATGATTTTGAATCGACTTGACCCCGGACCATTTTGTGTGCAGAAGATACTAGGACCTTGGGCATCTGCCTCAGTTGCGCAGAAAGCAACTAAAGCACTGCTACTTTACCTTAAGTCAACAAACCTGAGCGACCGCCTGTAAACTGTGTCCTCCCCGAGTGTGCTCGTGATTGTGTGTACCTTCTCATCTTTCTGCAACCTCTTTTCTCCCATTTATCCCTTCCCCAGTGCAGGGTAGCAAACTGGATGTGCGTCTGGTTAACCTCCCTGCCTTTCCTTGTATCTTTATCTCTCTCTCTCTCTCTCTCTCTCTCTCTCTCTTGCGTTTTGCGTTTCAAACTCCAGCGCGGCTTTGTGATAGAATATTTGACAGCCCAAGACCCCTGCTCCAAATCTGCATTCGATTATAAGCAGTTATCCTTTGCTTTTATTTTTCTCAATCCCACCTGTTACGCCACCGACAGCCACGGTGTCGGCAAGCTGCGCTCTATACACCAGAACACAACGAGCTCAGTGCTTGCTGCCATAATGAAAAACACGTGGCGCCGTCTGTTGCAAGCGCGGCGAAGCAACACTCTCAACTGCCATGCGAGCAGACGCTCTGCAAATCAAACGCGAAACTTCACAACTCGAGTCTGGCTGTAAGCACGTTTCGCGCTGTTCCTTTGCTAGAATTTTCTGCTGATTTCATGCGAAACGTTGCGACGTTCCTTCACAGTCCGAAATGTTTGCAGCACATGCATTGGAGGCTGCGGAAGCAACTTCATTAGGTACGCATTATCGGACTGAAAGAAACGCGAACAGCGGAAAGCGTTAACTGCGGCGTGGCTTGGCTGTGACAAGGTCAAATTTATGCTCTAAGCTGGTGTCAACGTAGCGCTAGAATCTGGCTTAAACTTACGCTCATGCACCGTTGTGTATCAAATGCCAGTCCGGCCGGGCACTTAGAACACACATGTGGTGCATAGGTGCCAGCCAGAACAAGATTTTAAAATACAACGATGACGCCGGCCGAATGCACATGTAGATTCACCTAGGGACAGTCAAGGCATGTCGCAGTTCGATGGAGTCGAAAGGCATGATTTCTGCGCCGTTCACATCTCTTTGCAAAGCGATAGTAGGCCGTTACAGTTGTACTAAACCTGTGCGGTGTGTGCATGCACGCGTGAGTCGTAACACTTATATCCTACTATTGACATGCGGCCTGCGAAAGAGTACGGCAATAGTTTTGTGCCGTGCTACAGGCATACTGCACGCAAATCGCTGTTGTAAAGTGGAACAGCTGGAGTCGGGCTTGAATAAACGCAATAAGTATACTTACTCCTACATTTCACTGGGCTCGTAGTTTTTCCTGTCGATTGCAATTATATCTTAAGGCGGCGGAGGTCAGCGTTTTTTGTTGTGGACGGCAATCTGTGCAATCGCAAAACACCACACCAGCATGATTCCCGCGATGCGCTGTGAACTTCACACACAGTGCTCAGTAATCTTTTCCACTTGCGCTGGTTGTTCTCGCATCAGATGACAGCGCGGTGGTGCCCAGATGACATTTTATAAGCAGGCGTAGCGTTAACAGGCGCGTTTTCGCTTTTTAAACTCCCAGAGCTACTGCTCGCCTTGTTAGCGAAGTACGCCTTCGTAGTTTCAAACAAATATTGGCGTCTCTGTAAGCAAGGGTATACCGCCGAAGGCACCTGCATGGGTGCGAGGTAGGCGTGCCCTCGTCTAATGTACCTTAACAAGCGCGCTAACGCTGAGTTCAATCATACGGCTCTCTTCATCTGTGGGCCAAGAACGTCAAATATTTGTGCAAGTCTTGAACGTTATCGATCGTAATCGCTGGTTTTTCAATTTTTTCTCAAAGGTTATAGCTATTAGTATCACACCTGAAGTAAGAGATGAAGCTCAACATTCGCAACTTCTCAATCAATACTGCCTGTCACGTGTATAATTAGTGCATAAGTGCACCAATTTGTTGCTTCACCATAACCTCGCACTAAAAAACGCTCGCGTATCTTTTCTGTTTTACCGCCAGCAACATGTACGAACTGCTCTTTCAAGATACCCTTCAGTATAAAAATATTTACGTGTTTTAAAACACGAGTGTCAGAGAGCAGGAGCTCACCGACTGTTTTACTATGGCCGACTGCAAGCGTTTAGTAGGCTTATCCTGTGTGTTCGTGTAGAAAGATCACCGAGCTCCTGATCTTTATTACGGTGAAAAGAACGAGTGCCGTCACTAACAAGTGATTAGTAAACGTTCACAACATTGAAATAGAGGTATGCTTGAGTAAACGCTTAGTTATAGAAGCAGCTGCTACATTGTTTGCTAAATGAACACGTGTGATTCACAGTCCTGGCTGTACTTTTTATTTACGCACAATTGAAGGAGCTGTGCGGAGAAAACGCCTCGGACAGCTGCTTAAGAATCTTCAAAGCTTCGGTGAGGCCTGGCACTTTCTTCCGAGTAGTGATGCGCTGACTCTTAGTGCCACCGTGCCGCAAGCGCGGGAGGCTGCCTGGTAAAAAATGCTGCACCGCGTCAACAAATGGTGCCGATAAGTTCAGTGAACATCTCTCACATGTCTGGCCTTTGGTGTATTCTTTCTCTCTCTCTCACTGGAATGTCTGTTTTTAGCGAAAGCCTACTGAGCTCAGCAAATAAATCTGGTGATTGTCCTCGTCTAAGCTGAAATCTTCAAGTCAAATCACGAGGCTGTCTGCGAGCTGCTGTAATGACATCATTGACGTATCTTTCACCTTCGCTGGCCGCCTAGTTATCGACATGGTACATTTATGGCTTCTTAGATGTGAATTCGCCCCACACGCGCACAAAACCACCATTAAAAACGCCCGTACACGAAATACCACGTGCCCGGCGATACCCCCTTCCTAAATGCACGCTCGCGCTCTTCATCTCGTTCGTTTGCCGGAAGCCACGCAACTGGCTGGCTTGTGTCACGTGATCGTCCTCTTGGTCAGATCACGCCACGCTATCACTTCAAGGTCAGAGTGGTCGGGAGCACTCTGATACAGAGGCTTACGCTCTGAAAGAAGCAACCAATGGTAGTCCGACCGCTTGAATTCTTCCAACTGAAGGCACACATACTTTTCAGGGCCTTCAAAAAAGCTTAACTGAACACGCCACTAAAACGTGTTTCGGGGCCTCTTTAACAAACTGCGAGGCTGGTCGCTCTTGGAGGCTTAATGCAGTCATCTTGGCTGATGCTAGGTTTCTCCTTGGCGTTGACTGAGTGGAGTTGCCGCACAGCCAGTTACAGACCTTTCAATAATTTCTTAGCTCCAGTGCCAGGAACCCACATGCACACCTGGTTGCGGCCATTTCGGTAGAAGCGCGGGCCTTACTAGGCCCAGCTCGTGCTACGTCTGGCGAACTCGGACGGCGGCTGTGCAGGCTGTCTCCATTTACGTCAGACTCTGGAATTTCGCGGACATGCTGCGTCACCTGGCACTGCAGTTTTGAGTAGTGAAAGCACCATCTCTCGTGCATTTGCTGTGCAATCACGTGCAACTACAGCGTACGAAACGAAAATTCTGCGAAATGTTAGAAGTATTTGCGCATTGAGAACTTGAAAAAAAGAGCTACGAATTCCTCTCCGCTAGCCGAACGCGTCACTGAACCACCATAAGGTGCTTGCGGATTCTCTTGCCAGAATGACGGCGAGAACAAGAGCAGACGCAACAGCTCCGCGCTCTACAAAACCTACCCCAGTCGATGCTACTGTTGTGTTGCGAATTGCCGCGGACGTAAAGCACTTCAGTTTTGCTGATTTCTGCAACTTTTACGAAGCAGAATGGCGAGAATGCTCGATACGGGCCGTCGCAAACGTGTTGGGTAAACGAATTCTCGCGTTCTCCCCAGCCGGCCGCATGAGAAAAAAGTGATAACGAAAGCAATATAATAATGCGCTCGAAAGTTACCACGGAGAACCCTGGTAACTTTGATTATGAAGTTTAGCAGAGCCTCTTGCCGCGGTGTGCTATATGCAATAGTGAACAGATGATGCGCGCTATAATCATCGCACACGCCGCAACCACCGATAATCTAAAGTGGTCGACACTACGCAGCGTTACCAATAAAAGGCTTTGAACACTCTAACTTCCTGCTTTAACCAGGAAATGTGAAAACGTACGTCACACACGTGAATCGCAAATTGATCGCGACCACAATAGGGTTTCTTTCTTTCTTTTTTTTTGCTGTTTATCTCTGCGATTGCCGGAGCTATCTCGGAGGCCTCGGTTTTGCCTTTCGTTGTTTACTGAGAAAGTGGACAAGCAGGTAACCCCACTTGCAGTATATAGAAGCGGAAGACAACCGTCAACTTAACACTCCCCTAGCAAAAATCCTGATGGTGGTCTGTATCAGTTTCAATTTCAGGTGGTCTGCATCAGTTGGTCTGTACAGTTTTCTATCAGTTGTACTCAGTTGTACTAGCGTTGTATCAGACTGATATAAAGTCTTACCAGTGCTACCAGCTTTCCTAAGGCACTGACTGGCCATATCTATGACGAGTACTAGGTTAGAATATATATATATATATATATATATATATATACTCCCTTCATAAGGGGATAAGTTATACTAACATGAACTTCCAAACTTCGTTGCTGCGCGTTCCTCTTGCATTGAAAGATGTTTGCGAGAGTGTGAACAAACTAAAAAAGAAAGAAAGAAAGAAAGAAAAAAAGAAGAAAAGAGACGAAAAAAAAGAAAAAAAAGAAGAACCACTGTGAACAATGAGAACGAAACCAAATGTCGGTGTACGTCCACATCCAGTTTTTATCCCGTGCTGTCAGTTCTCGACGTGTGTCGGGCCACCCAAGATTGTCGCCGCGCTGGTGGGAGGGGTCCGCGAGGGCGTGCTTAAGGAAAGGGGTTTCCTTAATGGGTCGGTCGGCTCTTTACCTTTCATCTACGTCCGTTTCCTTTCAATGGTCATCAAGTGGTAGGCGAGCGTAAACACTTTGTATGTGCATGTGAAAAAAAAAAGAAAAAAGGGAAAAAGAAAAAAAAACAAAAAAAGCAAGAAAGGACAGTTTACACGTACGAGTCAGTCAGAAAAAAAAAACAAGCAGGGTCTCCAGCTATCAATCTTTGTCACCAATTTCCTCCTGGCTTACTTCTCGGAGGCAGGAGAGTCTTCCGTGGTCCTCGTTGATGCCGGCTACTAATGTTCTAAATTTGAAAATAAAGTATGCCTCACGCTGTTTGCGCTCGCGCCTGTTTGAGAAACCGGACTGCAAAAGAGTTACGCTTATATTTTTAAAACTGGGGTTTGGCAGGCGCAGATGTCTAGATAAAGGTAGCTGTGGCAGTGAAGTGGCGTGGTACCGGTGACTATTGAACCGCAGCCGAAGTGGCGTGTCTGTTTGGCCGATATATTTTTGTCTGCAGATGTTGCAATGTAGCATGTATATTACGTTACTGGAGTGACAATTAAGACTTTCAGTTATGCAGAATTTGAAATCCGAGAAGTTCGCTTTGAATTCACGTGTTGTGACCATCTGTGGGCATACCTTGCATCGAGCTGATCCGCAGGGATGGCACCCTGATTGAATTTGGGGGGGGGGGGGGTTGTTTTTGCTCTGACAAGAATGCCCTTCAGATTTTTATCCCTGCTGTGCACCACGTGAGGTGGCTTCGCGAAAATAGAAGTTAGTCGTTTGCTTTGCCTGATTATGTTGAAATGGCAGGAAAGCATGTTGTTTATTCGTGGCGCCGATAAAGAGTAAGTTAGTACAAGGTTCGTTTGGGAAGTCGTTTTAGATACTCTGTTTCGTACCTTAATTATATCATTCCTGTTCTCGTTGCGAGCACATAGTACGGCATCGTCAGTAATGTATTCCGGATAATTTTGTTTCAATAAAGAATGCTTTAGGTGTCCTGCGTGTCTGTCCTATTCCCGCATATCGGTGCATATTTTTCGGTACCGGTAGGCCTGAGAGTATGGAATACCCGTTTTGCAATGTTTTGGGTGGATGCTGTTAAAATGTAGGTACATTTTGCGGTCTTTAGGCTTTTTGTAAAGGTTTGTTGACAAGCGGTCATTTTTGACCGTGACAGTGACGTCCAAGAAGTTAATGCTAGTTTTGGAAAATTTGTGTGTGAATTTAATTGAAGGGTGGCACTTGTTAAAATCCCCTATGAAGCGAAAAAGACTTCCCTCATCGTGGTTCCATATCATAAAAATATTGTCTAAGTGTCTTCTTTAGTAGAAAGGTTTTAAGGTGCGTCCCTCAACGAATGGGACTTCAGGTGAAGCCATAAAGGTGCTAGCGAAGTTTGGGGCCATTTTCGTGCCCATTGCAGTGCCACTGACCTGAAGAAAATGCTTGCCGTTGAACTCAAAATGGTTATAATTCAGTACAAGTTCAAGAAGTGTAAACAGTACCTCGCCACTTACACCAGTTGATGAGTTAGATTTTACATATTCAGAAACCATAGCCGCTATCCGTCATGATGGGGTATGTTGCTGTACAGTGAGCAGACGTCCATGGTCACCAGAAAACTACCGCCTGGGATGTCGAGACTTGAAGTTTCGCAGATGAAGTGGTTTGTGTACTTTAGGTAATGAAGAAAATTTAGGGGGATGTTTTTTATTAAGGAATTGATGAATTCTGATATAATTTCTGTTGATGTGCTGTTACTGGATACTATCGGACGTCCCGGATTGCCTGCCTTGTGTATTTTGAGGAGCAAATAGAATCGACCGCGAACAGAATGGGCCGGTAATATTACTTTTAACAATTCGCCGGTAATTTCCTCGTCCCGGTGGAGATTATTTAGGGTTACTTTTATCTTTAATTTAATAATAACGTAATATAGACGCTACATTGCAACATCTGTGGACAAGGATATATCGGCCAAAGAGACACGCCATTTCGGCTGCGGTTCAATAATCACCGGCACGATGCCACTTCACTGGCGAAGCTACCTTTGTCTAGACATCTGCGCCTGCCAAACCACAGTTGTGAAAATATCAGCGTAACTCTTTTGCAGACCGGTTTCTCAAACAGGCGCGAGCCCGAACAGCGTGAGGCATATTTTTTTTTTTCAAATTTAGAACATTAGTAGCCGGCATCAACGAAGACTTCGGAAGACTCTTCTGCCTCCGAGAAGTAAGCCAGAAGGAAATTGGTGACAAAGATTGATAGCTGGAGACCATGCTTCTTTTTTCTGACTGACTCGTACGTGTACACTGTCCTTTCTTGCTTTTTGTTTGTTTTTTCCCATTTTTTCTTTTTTTCACATGCACATACAAATTGTTTATGTTCGCCTACTACTTGATGATCATTCAGAGGAAACGGACTAAGATGAAAGGTAAAGAGCCTACCGACCCATTAGGGGAAACCCTTTCCTTAAGCAAGCCGTAACGGACCCCTCCCGCCACCGCGGCGACAACCTTGGGTGGCCCGACACACGTCGAGAACTGACCAGCACGGGATAAGAACCGGATGTGGACGTACACCGATATTTGGTTTTGTTCTCAGTGTTCACAGTGGTC